TGTGATCAAGAAGTTTGCTAGAATAGAAAACGCCAAAGCGGTGTGATTAACAATCCTGTGATAAGTGACGTAATGGAATAGTCTTTCGCAATAATTCGAAAACGCCAAAGTGGTGTGATTAACAACCCTGTGATAAGTGATAATAAAGTTTTTCACAAGTTGGATTATTTGTACGTTATAAAAAAATTTTACTATTCAATCCCAAAACTTATAAATACAGTCGTTCCGCTCGTCTGTCCGCATTATCACAGATTAAGATTCTAAATAAATAAAAAAACGATTTCTAATAGATACACATTTATCTTATAAAAACGATTTCTAATAAATACACATTTATCTTACAAATACACATTGTTTTACAAATATACATTTATTATTGTACTTCTCTTATAATCTAGTATATGTCATCGAGCAAAATGCAGAAGCGGGTCAATAATTACGAAATACAAAGAGGAATAGAGCTGAGTCACATACCTGAAGGGGCACCGCAGCGGATACATTTTTACATACTTATCCCCGATCCAGAAATAACAATCGACATAATAAAAAACTTTCTGAACTTTAAACAGCGTATCTTGTCCACGGAAAGTTCTCGTACTTGGTTAATGACAATTCATTCGATATGGTAATTTTCTCTCACTGCAGATTATCCCGAAGCGCCAATGATGCTAAATTTATCGGAAAGGTTACGAGCGTACCGTCTGCACTAATAACGGACTAAAACTTTCGGTGACAGTCTGAATATATACGGAAGGGAGAAAGACCAGTACGTGAAGTAACAGTGACACCCTATAATTCTGCTCAGAAAAACGCCACGGTCCTAACGGGAGTTTAATTATGTGCGAAGGCGTTCTCTATCTTAGATTTCTCTTTTGTTGGAATTCGATCTGATGTTCTTATAATCCCTAGTCTACCAAAGATACAACGACAACAAAATCATCGGTCGCAAAACGTGCACAAGAATTAGACAAAGACCACGCCTAGGGAGTATCGCTGTGTCTATAATTAAGAAACGGCAAGTACTGTAGACCAAAAAATGGATTCAGTTAATAACGAATCGCAAAAAGTGTAGATAATTAATCAAGTTAAACTCTTATATATCAATGTACTTAACAAAATTCGCTGTATACACTCACCTTTTGTCTTTTTGAATAAAAAATAGTTTGGTAATACGATATCTATATTATCTGTATTGTAACCGGTGTATTTATTTAGGATCGAATTATGCAAGTAGCGATATTGTAATCTCGTAATCGTTTGATAATAAAAAAAAGTGTAACGATCTCTATGTATTGTGGCGTGATAAGCTTGAGTCACAATCAGTAGTGTGATCAACAAAGTGACGTAATGAAATTTCCCAATAGGTTGCAAGATATATTGAGCTCCAAAGTGGTGTGATGAGAGCAGAGTAGAACAGATATGAACAGGACATAATATTTAACGTATAATAATAAATAGTAAACATCAAACTTAATCTATCTAAAAAGCAATTAAGCAAAAAATGTAGGCTATTTTCATATTACATCTGGCTTTAATCATCGAAAAATTTTTGCTTAGCTAAGCTCACATGATTTGCATCACCCCAAATATTATTATTATCTTTTTACTTATACTTCCTATCACGGAAGTTTTCATCACAACTACAGTATGGGTTGTAATCTGCAACCAAAAGTGTTACACATATACACGTGACCAGCATAAATCTCTGACTATTCAGCGCAAACGCATCTAATACTCTATTTTCCGACACTAGTATTGCGTCTTCACCAATACCGCAATGGCAGCCAACTACTCGTCTGCATAAGCCTCATACGCGATTCACAAATTCAATTTTTGCCTGTAGAAAATGATAAATTTATGGTTTGTGAGACACTCGGTGTTCAGAAATGACGAGTCCAACTTTAACTCAAAGCCAACTTACCTTCTTCATTGTGTATACAGTACAGCAGGGAGCAATAGTAATGTTCTCAAATAATTCTTTGATATAAAAGGGTATTTGCAATAAAACAATCGAAATTGTCACCGATTTTGACAAAGAGACATTATCCGTTCAAGTGTCAAGATTGGAATAATACACCGTTGGATATCTCGCTACACATCTTACTTTTATGCAGCAGGCCAATCAGCATTACGTACTCAATTTCCTCTCCAGAATGGATTTGCATTAACGGTAACATAAAACGCAAGGCCTTACATTACCTAATATTACGTATCTAACAGTCGCTGTCCAACCTTAACATAGCGTCTCATTACACAAGGATGCATTTATTACTGATCCAAGCGTAATTAATATTAAAGAGTATAATCGTAAAAACAAATTAATAAATTTATCTTCTTAATTAATATATTTTGACTCACATTTAATTTAGTAACTACTTAGACAATTATCATACCCGTTGTACTTTGCCCGGTCGACATAGTCGGCCGGGCTCAGCACAACTGTTCTAGTTCTAATACTAAACCGATAAACTAATTAATCCACTTAACAGTGTATAATAATAGGCAATAATACAACTAATGAAAGAATAATGAAGGCAATACGACGAAACTTTGTTATTGTACCTTGATTCGACATATATAATGATTGTATTGTTGCTGGCAAGGACTTGATTTAATTACTAAGTACTCTAATATATACATGTAAAATAATACACAAATTCATTAGTAGTTCATGGCAAAAGAACACATGTCGCATGAAAAAAACTCACACCCACATGGCAAAAAACTCTTGCCGCATGGCATAGAATACTCGATTTGCTCAAACTAGCTGTACTACAAAATCACACATGTGCATTATGCCATTCATTGATGGGCTGGCCCTTGTAAGCTTCGGGTAAAATGTAGATGGAATAATTAGGTGCTATTGATCCTGTGTCACACGTCAAAGATTAAAGGTTTAATAAGACGGGTCATTTTCTTTGTGCTCATTCCTCATGTGACGGAAATTGAATCTCTTGATTATGTTCGGATAAAAATCTTTCCAACGAAACTACTAGCGGCGGGAGCGAAAACTAAAAAGACCAGAAGTCAAGCACTTTCTAACAGACGATAGTCAATGACAATGGACAATGGAAATTATATGCTTATGCATCTTGCGTTACGTTGCATTGCAGGAACGATTCATGAATATGCCATAATCAATTTGCGTACCCCTGATTGATCATATGCTAAAAACTTTTTCTCACATGTATTCAAGGGTCACTACAAAAGGGTTTAGTCTACCGATAGATATCTCGGCTATTCGATTTCATAATTCAAAGACTTATTCTCTCAACCGTTGCTATAATATGATAGAGAGAAAGAACTTAATTTATTTGTTTATGAAATACTGTAAACACTTTTCGATAAATAGAGTTGGATATCTTTACTTCAAATTTATATATTAATATTTGGCCTTATTAGGAAACACACGGCATATTTTCTCATGCTCATCGTATGTTGCATTCCTAAATAGTTTTACAAATATTATTGTTGAAATTTTCTTTTTTTAGATTCAAACAAGTTTTCTTCGAATTAGAATGAATCAAGACGCCGTTAGGAAAGTTTTTCTTTGTCGGCTTAATATTGACACGTGGTAGCCTTATGCATCCATCGTTTGTGTGGCTTAATTTAGAGAGGTGTGGGATAGCCGTTTTTCTCTTATTAATCGAAACGACCATAATTACAATATAGCAACTTGCAAGCTATTTGTAGATACAGAAAGTTTTTGATTTTTGTGTTTAGTTTAAGATAACACAACTGTTTATTTTTAGTTCAGGTTTTGTTTATCTGGAATCTGTTGCAAATTAACGTTCAATATATTTGTATTTGGCTAGTTCTAGTAGATTCAGCTGAAACAATGGAGAGGTATTTACGCACGCTTTGTCACAATGCACTAAATGTCATATTGTTGTGTTGGGGGTTCTTTGTTATTGTGTTAAACATGTAGCTACTTTAAGTAGCAGCACCTGCAGATTTTTCAGAACAGTGGTTTATCAATTAATTAATTATTATACAAAATAATTAATCAACATTGCAATAAGATCGTACTGTTTTAATAAATTTGTAGTTTTACAGACAACGAGTATATACGCACATACTACTCAACATAACACTGATACTGATACAGGTAGTGAATTTTGCCGATTAATTAAAAATTAATTGTAAGTATTATCGAAAAGGTGTTCAACGAATGTGCATCTGGATTTGGTGACTATAACTGATGAGTGTCAAATTATAACCTTGATAATTATTTTTCATGAGAAGCGTTCGTCAGTCGTTTTTGTAATTTGTATTACCCTCAATCATTTGAAGAAGAGTGAAAGCATGTGTTCAACTCTGAAAGATAGCTGTAATAGACTAAAAAACTATAATAAATAAAATAAAAACATATATACAGTATGACTTGCATCACGAATTCATAGTTGACTCTCCTGCAGACCTGCATGTCTTCTTCAGTTATGATACCTTGCAACAAAGAACACTGTATAATAAAAAGTTTTTAATTTATTAACGAATCTTTTACATGCTTTGTTAAAGTTTTCTCTTACAAAGGCGATGATAACTTCGAGCAGCCACAAACTGTGTGACAAAAAAAATTTTTTTTTTAATATAAAACTATGCCTGCTCAACGCTGTTTGCGTGTCGTAACTGCAGACACAAGTTAACAACGACAGTAAAAAGATTCTTTAAATCTTAAAAAATGCTACCTGTAACCACGAGTTTGGAAAACCCTATGAATGTTTCGGAAGATTTGCCACGCGAATTAGACCCCATCGGAAATCACCATGACAATGATATGAATGCGGATAGAACGGTAAGAATTATTTTTATATGTTAAATTGAATGTAAGAGCATGAGCCAGCTAATTACTAACGTCATTTATCTCAAAAATACAAAAGCCTTTCTCCAATGCAACACGCGGTAGAAAATCTAAATTTATTTCCGAAAAGTTAGATTTAACGGGACGTGAACCGATTATGGTGGTGAATAATCTACAAAATACGACTACCGGTTACAGAGAAGAGGTGACCGTTGTTAATAAATCAGTGCATGAACCTGTAATGTATTATAGTATTGGGAGAAAACAGTTTGCACGCATGGTAAGATTTTAATGACCAAAGTTTGCGTTGTTAAAACAACATTAACACTAGTATTTTGTTAGACAACAAAACAATTACAAGATTGTGCCAAACTGTTTGAAGCAAAAGTACGTAACAATACGGGTTTGTAACTGGAGGCAATTTGAAAAATATTTATCGTTATTCTCATGGCGCATTATAAAGTATTTAGAATATATATAGTTCGAACCAACTTATAACCAAATTACATGTCGAAAAATATAAGGTATAAAATAAAATTGTTATTTTAACTTAGATTTTTAACGTTGATATGTCATAACCGTTTGATGACAGATTATTCAGAGTTAATTATATACTGTAGAGTCAATCGCAAAAAAAGCAATGACAATACCGCGAGCTTAGACTTTTTAGTTAAATAAAGAAAATTAATTACGCAAGCTTGGGAAGGTGTAAACCTAATATCTTAGTATACTGATAGCTCGTAATACAGCTACTAATCAAATTAATTAAATCGGGAGAAAGCATTTATTTCATCGACAATCATTTTTATCGACAGTACATTTGGTTGACAGTCTTTTCACCGACAGTTTATTTTGCCGGCAGTACGTTTTACCGACAACTATTTTACCGACAGTACATTTCACCGCACCGATAGTGGATCTCCCCCCCCCCCCTCCTCGAAGATGCTAATTTGCTTTAATAATTATTATTATAATAATAGGGTTTGTATATATTAGGGTACGTAGAATTCTAAAGTTAATATCGTAATACAGAAACATTGTTTTAATCTGTAAACAGAGGAGTGCACTATATAAAATTATATTTATAGTGTCACCTTACAGTTTCCTCGAATAGTATTTCAATTATCAGTTATCCCAAGTCGAATGGTAAGAATAAATGCTTTTGTATTATGTAACCACAAATTTTATTTTTAATTTTCTAAATTATGTAGACACAACTACGGTTATATCTTATTGTCATTGTTATATGGTCAATGAAAGTTTATGTCAATAAAATTGGGATATGAAAGAAGCGAGCTTATTACAATCCGAACTTTTTGTTCGCTAATTTATTAGTAATAGTACTAGGCTTGTTCAATTTTGTCCCGTTTCCATTTGTGATTGGCGGATTAAAAATCACATAATGGGAACAACAAATTTGCAGTTTCTACCTGTTCCCATCCTCATCCCACACACGCTTTATTATTAAGCATAAAAAAAATAAAAGTTTATGTTGCGCAAAAGGTTCTAATGGTTTTAAAAAAATAAAATTTTTTGTAAAGAATCACACTTGAAATCTTGGAGCGAAAGGAAACACAACGGAACGGAGAACACGAAATTTGCCCTCAATTCTCACTGATTTTTGATTGGAACGGAACAAGCCTACTGTTACTGATTGGAGACCTTTTTTTTAGTAACACCTTCTGACGCATATAGTGTATAATTATCAGAGAATCAACATAGATTGTGACAAGTTTATTAGATTTTGAACAACGTTCATATTACCTTATAGGTTACTTAATGCAGTTCGATAGTTATTGCTAAATTGCATCTGTGATTCTTTATACTATTTCCTCTGCATATATTTTTGTTATGACAATCTATTTATTTGTTTGATATGAGTAGAATAGAGGCAGTCTTCAACTGTCGAAATATGAATTATGTCTGATGTAGCATTTGAAACTGATGTCAAGTTAAAGTATCAAAGCATCCATGTCACACTATTAAAATAGAGTTTCACACTTTTACAGCTAATTTGTGCCGATAATTCAATGCAAACCATCACACGATCCAGCTAATAATACCGTATACTATCGTCATCGTGAATAAGCACGCACCCTATAAGTAAAATTATCGATCGTGTCCCGATAATACCTAGATTAACTGCATGATGTACCCCCAGCCACAAATCAAAATTTTTATTTCGCGTATACAAATAATAGTACGCTTACTATTATAAGCTACTCCTTACTATTGTTGCGGGTTATACTTTACGTAACAGTTTGCCGATGGTTTTATAAAAGTTGACAATCCTATCATGAATAAGCACACCCTTCACTATGATAAGGATGGGTGCTTATTCACGGCATTATACGGTAATAAACATAAGCGTACTTGACATGATAATATTAGCTCTGCTACTACATATCTGTCCTATAAACCATTCGATGTTTAATTTTGTACAAACACTATAATGAAAGCAATCCATAGTTTTAAGTTATGTGTGCTAAGCTTGAGCATCGTATGACCAGATACTCTGAAGAACCGTATTCATCTGAACATTGGTTTGAAACAGTTCATTAACTTAATGTGATTGCATTCAGTCAGTTAACAGAAATGATTTGTGATTGTATTTTTTACTATCGCTGTACCATCATTATGCGAATAAGAATTTACAGAATTTTTGAAAATTGTCTCGAAGGTGATGCGAGAGATTGGTATGAAAGCAGAGTTAAAAATAAAAATTGGAAAATATAAAATATTACTGTAAATACTGGCGTAGCAACTCTTAACGTTATTAACTCATTGAACTAATAATCAAACACGCGCTATCAACGTTGCCAGATTTAGAGGTAGAGCTCGGACTATTCGAGAGACCGCACCAGCCGATGGTTATCTACCTGCGCGACCATTTAGTTCTACCTCATTCAATATGAGATGAAGATTTGATAACATCAGGTTGGACATCCATCTGGCTTAGCTCCAATAATGGAAATTTGTAACTCCAAGCATTACAATTGACCAATAATTGATTATTTTTGAGCAAGTACCCTGCCATTACTGCGAAAAAGTCACAATTAATATTTCACTTTCTGTCCCAAAATAATATCCAGTATTCGTTTTTATTCGAAATTAAAAAGATTTATTGTCCCGCATTAGCAGACGAGCCAGGTGGAGTTAGTTAGACAACAATTTTTTAAGGAAATTTCGCATGATAGCAGATTAGAAGTAACTCGTATTGGTCTTGAACATCCAATCTTTACCTTAATACGGAAATTGGAAGAAATTGAAAAAATCGGAAGGCGGAATTAATGTTAGGGCAGTACGAACCCAATTCTCATCCAGTCACTTTTCGTTCACAATCTAAAGCTAATACAAAGATTCTTTATATAACACATAATAACCATCTCAACCTGTTCTTTACAGACAGCTCATCAATTGCAGATAGACAGTTGGTACGACCCAATCAAATGGAACCAGGTAAATTATATAAAGATCCAAATTTACGCTTGAATGACCAAGAATGACTTCGAATGGATGAAGCGACAAATTGTCTTAGTGCACTAGCAGGTCCATCTACTTTACACCCCCTGCCAAAAGTATAAATATGGTACAAGATTTTACTAGTAAAACATATGAAATATCGAAATTTTCAAATTGTTAACTCTCTGTATCTTCTCGAACAGGCACCAATAAACTTTATATCATTTTAAAGCCAATAACTGTAGTTTTGATTGAGAGATATCAGCAATTTTAAGATAATACCAATTGCTGTCTATACTTTCACTAAAAGTATACGATTTATGTCGATCATTTAATATTAACTAGAACCTTTTCCACCCCACCTAACTTTGGCTTAAATCTTTTTCAGGAATAAGCTTTCAGAAATATCACGAATAAATAAATTGTTTCAACTTCATTATTAGGATATGGGAAACTATTCTAAAAGGACAATCTGTGAACGCAATGGGCATCACGTCAGTGATTGGGCTCCGTGTAATTATGTCATCAAATAATAATCATAATATCTTACTTATTCCTTCTAAGTAGGGAGGGAAGCATAACCTACTCACTTAGTTTAGCAATGTCATAATACTTCTCCCTTGATGTCGAGCATTTGTAATGTTATCTCAACGGAGTCAAGTAATTCATTTGCATTCATTGTCATAGGCTAACAATAAAATTAGTAATTTGCATCGCCATCATTATCGTAATTGAACAGTAACCAATTATGAACACTCTCTAACGAGAAGTTAACTATGTCGAATCGAACATTCGAATGAGTATTCTCCGTATGCAACGTGAGTCATCACTTAGGATCCATACTCAGTTGATAATAGCGACGACGACGATAATGTCATGTCGTAATGAGATTACTTCTTCGATGTGTTAAGCAAATACATCCGTTCGGGAGGTAAACAATTCAATTGTTTACAACACGTCCAACCCTTATAATTGTACTTTCACAATGAATTTTTTAGAGCAAAATTGCATCTGTTCGGGACAATATGCATTGTGTCGATTATGTTGTTGAAATAGACATTCATTTCATTTTTAGGCTGTCGACCCGATGTTTGAAGCCAAGCATGCTGAGACAGCGTCGGGGAGGCTGCCTTTTTGTATCTTTAGAGAAACTAACTTCTAATTACCACAGTTATTAAAAGTCCAATAATAATATAACGATAAAATCGATGAGTGCAACGACGAAGATAAGCATTCTAAATTCGAAATATTCTTATTTGTGTTATTCTTAATTTAGCAACACAAGGTCAAATGAATATTCAACGTTCACACAATTATAAGAAAGGTAAAACCCGCTGCTTAGATAACCTTAGGTAACACTAGCGGCGAACTTGTGCAACAATCAACATTCCCGATTTGGTTATCGTTTAGCACTAGCGCTACGTGGTAACGTACGTATTTGCGCAGTAGGCTCGTTCTCTTGATAACAAGAAACATTGTCGTCAGTTTGAGGAGTCAAGGACATGCATGATCCAGCAATTGACAAGTTAGTTCAAGCCTCCTTAGAAAGTGAAGATAAAAACTTGAGACTTGAATGGATTCCCTTTTCAACAATTACCGATATAACGTCAACTTCAATAAATAACGTTTACTACGCTAGTACGAAGGCAATTTGGAGGGGTATATGGAGGGGTGAACTGACGCTGGTATTACTTGGCAGTAGCAAAGAATGCATTCCAACGTTTGTGAGTGAGTTTGCTAGAATATACTCACTTCCGACGCACAAGTACAATAGTATCAACGACAACTTCAAAAGATATTCCCGTTGGCTTAATAATCGTAACCACCTGATCGGATTTACCCAGTGGGGTGATAATTATTACATGGTTGCCAAAAGACGCTTTTACCAATTCTACTCTCAATACGGATTTTGCACTGCGTGCGGACTACTTCGATGTAGTCCTGTGTGGTGCGTTTGTGGACATAAACAATTATCCGATGGGTGGACTAGCAACAATAAGCAACTCGACGAGTTGATTAAGAATTCTCAATTACAAACATACTCACCAAATCATGCCTATTTGGAATGGATTCCATTTGATTGCATTGAGGATAGGGGAATTGGCTATGGATTCTTATATGATCTAACTATGTTTAATCGGGTTACATGGATTCCACTTGAGATAACAGATGAGACGGATGATCTATATTATGCTGAGGTAAACTAATTACTTATGCATCATGTTTCTCAAAGTATAAGTAGTCTAAATAGTTACGACTTTTTATTTATACATAATTTCCACTAGTTATGTGATAAGTATCCAGATATTCTTACCACAGATGTTTGGATTACAATGGGATTTACATATCATGCAAGTGAAGAAAAGTATTGTCTAATAACAGTACATGATGCATTATGTCTGGCATGTGCAGGCCGATTAGAACCTAGGGTAAATGCATTTTGTTATCTTTGTAAAGCACCAAAAACTCTCAGTTGGACTACAGGCAACAGGTCTTTGGATACATTTATTATGGAGTCATGGAAGAATACTGAGGATGTAAATGATACCTATCTACAATGGATAGAGTATTCCCAATTGATTAATGTACAAGAAATGACCCAATTATATCATGGATGCACACTTATTATTATAGCAAATTGGCTAGACCCAATGTCAAATAAATGGACAAAAGTGTCACTAAAAAATATACATGTACAATTATTTGATTTTCATCAGGTGAGTCATGTCAGCATAAAATAATGCAAATAATCTTGGAATGTTAAACTGATAATTGTATTATTATTTACTCAAATAGGTGACAAAAAAATATCCTGAAATATTAACTCCTAAGAACATGTTGATCATTGGAATCACTCAAGAACCATCTACTCAGGAATATTATTTAGTTTTCTACCATGAAATACACACAATATTAGACAAAATTATAAATTCAAGTAATCAACAAGTAAAATATATGGAATATAGTGATTTTGGTGAACTCAAAGAGATTGCATCTGGCAGTCACAAAACAGTTTATACTGCTGAATATGAACCATTTGGGCAAACTGTTATACTCAAACGGTTTAAGAATTTTTATCAAATGATGGGGTTATTTATTACTGAGGTAAGCAATAATTGGTAGTATTAGTATTAATTAAGTGATGTTTAATCTGACTCGGTATTTATTTTTATTTTATAGTTCAGAAATCATACCAAGTTGTTATGTAATAGGTATTCTCTATTTTTTAGAATTTATGGAGTCACACAGGTCCCAGAAACAGAAGAGTACATGATTGCTATGCAATATGCTAACAATGGTAGTCTTTTGTCTTATTTGGATCAAAACATAAACAAATTGACATGGAGGATGAAATTACAGCATTTGTGTCTTATTGCACTTAATTTAATGCTTATGCATAGTGGAAGATTAGTACATTGCAATCTTCATGGTGGAAGCATAGTATTGCATAATACACGTCCATTCATAAGCGATCTTGGTCTCTCACAATCAGTGAATGCACCCGGGTCAAATTCAAGCATTCAAAGTTCTTTACCTTTTATTGCACCAGAAGTCTTTCATACTTACAAATTTACTCCGAAATCAGATATGTATTCCATTGGTATCATTATGTATTTGATTGCTACTGGTGAACCACCTTTTCGAGATAGGCAGTTTGATAAAGATTTAGCATGCGATATTACTGGCGGACTACGACCAACGATGCCTGATGCAGCACCAAAGGAATACAAAGAACTTGCTGAGCGGTGTTGTGATGCTGATCCTGATAAGCGTCCTGATATAAAGAGATTTTGTGCGGATCTCGTTCTTTATCGCGACGATAAATCTGACGTGTTAGTGTGGGATGTTATTTATGATGTAAAACCCTTATCACGTCTCGAAAAAAATGAGTAAACGCTCTAGTAAAATCGAGAAACAGCGATGATTTGGATTCATGTAAGGTATGATGAAAGCGATCGGTTTGTGTTGATATTGGATAAAGTCAATTTATGGTATTAACCTCCTCAATTGACTTATAATTCAGCGACTCAATTTTGAAACACAGTTGAATATGACGATATGAGGTTGAGTTGATGAGCTTCTGGATAATCTGGTGCCCGCGACGTCGAATGGTCGATTGATTTCAGACACAAACTAGACGTTTACTTGTTAGCAATTTCAATTAGGATTACCAGTATACAGTAGGAAGAAAACTGAATACCATACACGCTATTCAAATATTAAACCAACCAATTTAATTTTATAATGAGTCGATAAGTCATTGCTGAAACGGACGAGCGGTTTGATAGCGGGCTGGGCTGATTGACGACTGATATTTGTATGACTGTAGCTGTATGTGCAATTTGGATCACATTCGTTCCCATATTAATGCATACGTGTATTTAGTGCTTGTCATATAATACGAAATAGCATATTTTGCTGCCTGTGCAGATCCGTTGCTTTTGGCGCATTACTCTATTCGCGGAGTAATTAATCGTCTACCAGTTTATGTAGAATTGAATATAATACGAACAACAGTATCTAAGCTACTCTCTGGAGAATCGTAGTAAACAAGTGCATATTTATTGCTTCGCAACACAGTAAACTGTCTGACAACTTGGTTTACGTTAACCACATTAGTCGCTTGATACTCTGCCAAGACATATTGGCACACTCTTGTATGAGTCAAGAAACTTTTTTTGATAAAGTGTATTAACCTGGTGTATTAACCTGAAAGCACAATGCACAATACAATAAACAATGATATATGATAATATAATAAGTTCGCGACGCGACCGTTATCTGCTTTGAACAGCTGATCCAGGTAATTCATTGAACATCAAGCGTTATGTTTCTGACCTTATAAAATATATTATCTTTGATATTTCAGTTTACACATAAATATTAAGAACAAATTGACCTACGAGTTTGCTGGCATATATGGAATAATTATGATAACTCGATGTGAGCAGTTTATTTTTGACTCACAACAAAACTTAATATTGTTATTCACATTTTCTCTGGGAAACTGAACTGAGAGAATTTGCCAAGCACAAGCTAGACATTCCCTTTAAAGACACTCTAAGTTTACATCATATTAATAGATTAGTTTTGGACGCTGATTTATTTTTGTTCAGATCGGCATCTGATGACGCTAACGATTGTGTCTGCTGAGAAAAGTCATCACCTAAAATGAAAGAACGCCAACATTATCAATACTACTACGAGGAAAAGAAAAACTGTAATCCAATCTGCTTACTGACCAGCCGCTTGTGTCTTCCCTCCATCATTCATTGCTTTCAGTTTTGCAACTTGCAACTTTACCTTTTCTTTATATTCTTCATGTTCTACTCTTGTCCATCGTAGGTGTAATGCTAAAGATCCTAATAATGTCCACAATAGAAAGTATCGTAGAGAGAAGGACCTCGAATGTCTTTGAACTTGGGAAATCTCTGTATATAATCAGAGGTCGTGAAAGTACTAATGCTCCTGTGAGCACCGGCTTGTCGTCTAAAAATAGTCTTGCAATATTTGAACGAATTCTGTGCGTTTGTAAAGTAGTGACGTGACAGAGGATTCATAGTTTGCTTGTAGAGAAAAAAGCTAAGCAACTGTGTTACTAGGTCACGTGTAATCGTAATATACACGCGACCTGTCTCAGATCAAATCAACCTGGAGTCTAGCATGCTAGCTTCGACTCGAAGGTAAACTTTGCCAATCGGCGAACGTACACGAGCTACGTTCCTTGGGACAAAGATACCAGGACTAAAACCAGGATTGGCACTTGCTGTGTTGACGACGACGAAAGGTTGGTTGATCAAGTTTGTTTTTCTATGTTTTTGTTTAATTAATAAAACATGCCGTTAACATTCAGTCAGAAAATAAAACTAAATGACGAATATGGCGAAATAAAAGAACTTTTAGCGGCTGTGGCAGCACAACGGGGTGGGAGAGTCGGAGCCAAGAAATCAAGCGCGAATGGAGAGCAGCCAATGAAGAAAGTCAAACGAAAGTTACCGGTGGGAATTTATATCCGAATGCTACTGGTATGAGATCTAAGCAAGGACGAAGTTCTACAGTTCGAAAGATTCCCCTTCACTAAATTCGTATCAGGTTTAACGCTAGCATCGGACACAGCAAAGTCTCGGAGACAGGCGTTCAACAGATACTGGACGAGCTCGAGTCGGCTAAAGCAATCTTTGTAAAAAAAAAAAGTTCACTACACTGTACTGTTTCCTCATTTCTTTCAATCATTTCTCGCCTGACTCATTCTTTCATCAATTATAGGCAAGAGTCATCAAAGACTTCCCATGGCGTTATCGTCATAACAGGCTGGGTTCCGAGCCACTCCCGAAGCCGCTAAACCCATAGGCTCGTTAGTCCGTCGTCAGACACCAAGACTACAGAAACCCAATGGCATCCACCTTGGAAATTAATGCGAGTAGTTTCAGGGCATCTGGGCTGGGTGCAAATCAGTAGCTATTGAGCCTGGGAATCAATGGTTTGTTACTGGTGCTGAGGATAGAACTATCAAGGTAAGGGGAAGAGGAAGAAGGGTAAAGAGGGAAACAATGATATGGGGATATGAAGAATGAGTTCTCGACTAACTTGCTAATTATTCAAACTTAGATCCGGGACCTTGCTTAAAACTTTGCTTACGGAACACATATCCCCAGTGCGAGGGTTGGCTGTGTCGCCGAGACATCCGTATCTATTTTCTTGTGAAGAGGATAAAATGGTAAGATTCCGACTTTGGATGCACTGGTTACTGCTGGGAGAGACGCAACAGCCAGGGTAAGGTGTTGACAATAATGTGGCTTTATTATTTGAAATTCCTACATACTTACGCGTTATACTGAGTTATCACTTTTTCCCAAAGATGTGGGATATGTGAACAAAGCAAGGTATGCATGTCCCAAGCGGACATAGCTCGATAGTAGCGGATGTAATATGTCAGAAGTTGATCCACAGGTCATCCCGGCTTTTATGGATTCGACCATACGTCGCTGGGGCTGGCAAGACGATGGTCACTCTTACGCATCACAAGAAATCCGTTCGTGCTCTCACGTTACATCCAACAGAGTTTGCGTTTACCAGTGGGAGTGCGGAAAATATAAAACAATGGAAGGTTCACGGAGGATTGTATACAGAATTTTGAAGGTCACAAGGCAATTATTAATTGCTTGACTGTAAATGTCGATAAACGTATTATTCTCGGGAGGTATGGAGTTATCGTTAGTATTTGTTGTTATGATTATGGGCAGAATAGGCTTATATTGTGGTATTGGTGTTGCCATTGGTTAATAATACTGATTCCGTCTTTCTCGGTTATAAAGGTGATATGGCATAATGGCGATCTGGGATTGGAAATCCGGATATAAATTTCAAGCGCTTGAAACCACCGCGCAACCAGAATTTGAAGCAGGCATATTTGCGTGTACGTTTGATCGAACGAGTTTGCGACTGATAACATGTGAAACAGATAAAACCATAAAAATATGGAGAGAGGACCCGAATACGGTAAGATATTGTGGGATTCAAAGATTGGGTATCTCTAATCACAAAGTGGATTTGTGTACTAATTCTGCGCATAATTTCATAGACCCCGGAAACACATCCGATACAATGGAAACCGTCGCTCGCCCGCACACGATTTTAACTCTTCTGTGTGCCGATATTACTATTATTAATTTTACGAAAATAAACAGCTTTAACAACTATAATAATACCCGTTTGCAAACTTTATGTTGGAGGGGATTGAGCTGATTTATGGCCTAACGTAAGTTAATTACGTTTGTGCGTTTACGGAATTATTTCCATATATAGCCGAATTATCAAAATCTGTTGTACGGTCGGTCAAAATGTAAAAAGTTGCATTTGAGTCCCGAAGTTGATAGCATGCATTTAAAGAGAGTCAACTTACCGATGCGATGCAACATTTTCAGCAACTCGAGTGTATTATCAAAGTCTCAATTAATTGTGAATGCAGCATAATGAGTTAAGGTCTTTCCGCGATATGTTCAATTTGTGGATTGAACATTCTTTGGTATATTAATATCATCAGCTCGTGGACCGATCCGCAAATCTTTTCCAAGCCTGCCTTTTTCCTGCATAAAGTAAATACTATCTGTAAGGCTAATGTTCAAATCGTCACATTTGTCACTGAACATATTAACGAATTGCTCAAAGCGAGAAAATCTGTGCACACTAGTAAAAACGACACTCCTCATCTTTATACTTACGCACGGAACACACAAACTTCTGACCTCTAATTCATTTTCTTCGGCTATGCCGGATTTGCTTCATGTGACCAAGACAAACGCGCGTAGCTTTTTAAACTAAAGGTCGAATGTATTGTTCAGCTTTTAAGATGCATCAAAAGACAAATAATTGTTAAACCCTCATAACATTTTTTTAGTTCTACGAATACTTATTCGGACGCTGCGCTGCAAGACCTGTGGATCAAGAGTTAATAACAAGCAACAACATAATATTAATAAGATCGAGACTGAGATATACTAAGGTGAAACGCGTATCGATATTTTAATTTAGAGGCAAAAGTACATTATAGTGATAACTTGTCCTCTGAAGCCAATGTCTATAATATGAAGAAAAAATTGTTAACAGTGTTTGATTAAAGGCTGATGTAGAATTTATTTCTCCCACAAACGAACATTATAATTTAGTTGATATTTATAGCAGACATTTTTGCAGTAATGCTTTTGAGATATGAAGGAAAGAAAAACGTTATATTCCACAAATAAACGTTTTTCGAGTGCAGGCAAATTTATTTATAAAGTTTAGAACAACTGTAAATCACGTAACATTTACTGTTTCGACTTTATACACAGAATAACGTGTTCCAATTTAATTAAAATTTGTGCTTAAGAATAACTGAAGTCGAAAAGTTTAATTACACTAGATATTTATAAATAAAATAACTTTTCTTCATGTCAACGCATTGTTCTCTTGCCTTTATACCTGAACGTCAATTGACATCTCTCGGTTTAGAGTAGTAGTAGGTAAAAGTTTGTTAGAGTATTTACACTCTTTTTCGAGACGTGATAAAGGTTTTCCATTAACGTAATTATGGAACATGATAAACCTTGCTATGCTATTCTTATTACCGCACACGCATTCATAGAATTCAGCGTTCTTTATAGTACAATACTCTTTTTCGAACATACGCGTATCTGATAATTATATAGTATTATCGCTGGTTTCGTTATATTTATGAATACAAAAAATGTTTGTTTGCTTGTTTGCTCAACGTGCCTAGTTGTCTTGTATACTGTACAAAGTGGCAAACTGAGTATAATAGAGGCCTTTTGACGCATCCGGAAATAAACTAAACCAATTACCCAATATTCATAATGTAGGCATTGACATTATGTCAGTTCGAAATGTTAAGCCAAGCAAGCCACTATGAGATGTCCATCTTGCTATTTTGTGTGTGTCTTCGCCTAGACAAAAATCTCGCATTTTGACGTATAATAAAATGCTTTGTGGATAAAAAAGAGTCATCTGATGATGGATGGACTATCAATAACAAGCAAAAAACGTAATATTTCTCATTCTAATTCGTGTTTACGATGTTGTTAAGAATTTTTAGCTAAAACATCGCTCAGCAAATGGTATTAAATTTCATTTAATCGTATTGATAATAGGGAGATACGGTCATAGTAAACGCTTATGTGGTCTACCTACTTGAGAATATGTGAAATTGATTTCACTTGAGATAACGGAAGGTAGACTGTTCAGTTATACATCATGCTTATTAATTGTCTGAATAACATTGGCATTGGCATTATCCAAATCCATCTACCAAAAAAATATTATTGACACTCTTTATACTGTTTTCGACATGGTTACGACAATTTTTTATGGATATGTTATTAATACGTTAAATTGTACACATCTAATAAAATTTCTGTTACAAAAGAGCACAGTTGACGTTCAGATAACGCCTTGAATAAGTGCCGTTCCAATTTGTACTCCTGAGTGCTTAACAACCAGAGTTTGTCCATTCCATTTTGTCCGGAAATTTACTCCAGGAACTTCAAACGTCCAACCAGCGGTGCCACCATTTAGAATTGGAACTTTTAACGCTCTAATATTGGATGTCAGGTCGGTCACTAAAGCGTGCGTAACCGTGTCCACAATTTGGAGGGTATAGTGAGTCCAATCGATATCATCAAATCCGTTATTCCACTGTCCGGTCAAACGAACCCCCGTTGTAGATTCGTAAAACTGAACGGCGCCAAGGATAGGCGAGAACAAAGCTAGCGCGGAGTCACCAACGTCTCGTTCGACCGGATGAGCAACCAAAGTTAAAGGAAGCAATAGAGCCAAGAAGGAGAAAATTAAGACGAAATTCTTTTGAGACATTTTGGCTTATATATATATAATTTGTGGATGTATTCAATAAAAAGCTTTTGATTTCGGAAACAGCTTTCTATGAGAAATTAAACAGTCCACCGAGCAGGCTGTTATATAGATATCGTATGTCGAAAAGAAGGCTGCTTCAAACAGCAAACTCATTGTCGAAGAATTTGCTATATTTGTTTAAACTATTTTTGTCTGAAATAGAACAATGATAATTTATATGTTGTTAATAGAGCAATTGATTAAACACGAATTCGTCAAAATTAAGAACGATTGCATACTTAAAAAATGATGCCATCAATGAAGATCAGATTTTATTCGTTGATAAAAATAACGACAATTATTATTATGCACACCTCTGCTCTCCGTAATACTATTGGCTGGCGTAAATTATGCCAAGTGTTACCATACTGCACCTTTGCTCACTGGTAATGCAAACTACAGTACGTTTAAACTATTGAGGTATAGTTTATTTGATTGTCTGCTTGCCCAAATAACCCTTCCCTTATATTATAAGTAAAAAAAATTAGCATTTACTAGCTGAACATCGAAATTATCTGGACGGCGGAGTTTAGCGATGTATTCCGGAGAGAAACTAATTCGAGATCTCAAATTACGAATATGGTATTGACTATCGTTTATCCATTAACACTTTGTTATCTCATATATGGGTTTTTAAATTAAAGAATCGTAATGGTTTTTAAGCAAACAAGCAAATAATAATAATAATAAAAGTAGAACCATTAAAGTCAAACAGTTAATAAGCTTGCATTAAACATTATTGCATCAGATACTAATAATAGCATGGCATGGCTATTTCATAACATGTACTACGACAATTACATGACTCAATTGATCCGATGAGGTCAAGTAGATAAAAAAACTGAACATTGATGTATGTTAATGATAAGTCTTTGAGCAATTTACAGTATCTCGAGAATTTTAATATCATCGCGCTACCCGGTTTTTTGTCTTGAAATTTACGGACTACATATATACTTTAACTCTGACTTGACAATACATAATAAAGTATTTGCGAGTAGCGTCCTAATACTGATAGAATTATTTGCTTTATTTGACTTAATAATAACAGAACAACATCGCATCGTTCTACCGATCGACACTAACATTTAAAGTTTTGTTTGATATAATATGAGGCATATCACTCTAACTTAAACAATTAAATAAAACCAAATGGTACTAATTTATATAAGTACAAACTACCGTAGAGCGCTGACTAAAGTACCCCGGGTATTTTACATTTCACTTTTTTTTGAGGGGTACTTTACTCGGGTACCTGGTACACCCATGATAATACATTGACAGCCCCCCCCAGTGTTTACGTAACATGTTCTATGTAAATAAAGACAATGCAATGCAACGCATACATGGATTCATATTTTTTTTCTCGATACCCGCACAGAGAAAATTCGCAAGCCATCTTACAGTGGGTGAAGCAAGCATGGAATGACAATATTATTACTAAGTCATTTAGATGCTGTGGAATTTCGCTTGATCAGTCAGGAAAAGAGTGGTTGTTTAACTACGAACGTTTACACGAGAACGACGAAGATGTGAGGTATAATCCCATTGACATTCATTCGGATAATGAAAATACCGAACCATCAGAGTCAACCGGACAGCTACAGATCGATAACATAGAC